TGTGATACTACGCATGACGTCCTCCGCCCCAGAACGATTCCGCCGTTCCGGTTTTGGGGTGTGACAGTTTGACTACGGGACTGAATGTTTCACCACAATCAACACCAACCTCCTAAGACTTAGCATTAACAACTAGTCGTGCCTTATATCTTTCAAGAGAACCGTCTGATTTGAACTTGTGTCGATAAATCCAGTGACAACCAATGACATTAGCATTATGTGGGCGAGGTACTAAATCCCATGTGTTTTGGTGAAATAAAGCATTAAACTCAGTTTTCATAGCATAATTCCAGTTATGGTCAAGGAGAGCGGACTTAGGACTGGTAGGAAGAGGAGAAATAGATTGAGAGGATAAAGCATATTTAGGATTGGGTTTAGTAATACCACTATGGGAGCGGGTGTGGATAGTCCTTTGTGGGGCTGTTGGCAATGAGGGATTTGTAGGAGCGATTGGAGAGTGGACAGGAGGAACAGTCGTGGAGTTAGTTGGTGGGGGTGATGAATTGGATGAACCAACAGGAGGGCAGGTTGAAACTCGAACATGGTTGTTTGGGATAGAACTTTTTGACGAAGTAACATGAGATGAAGTGGGACTCGATTGTGAAGGTGGAATGATATTATTTGACATGTGATAAAGAGGATTTAGAAAAGGGAAGGGTGGTGGATTATCGAGAAAGTCATAAGAGGATGAGGGATATGAGAAACGATTTTGGTAAGGAAATGTATTCTCATCAAAAGTAACATGAGGAGATATGATTGGTTTGTCAGTTGAGAGAGTGTGACATAGATAACCACAGTGATTATTCAGGTAACCAAGAAAGATGGAAGGAATGGATCTAGGAGTGAGTTTATTTTGAGTGGTGGCGGAGATATTCGGGTAACATAGACACCCAAAGGTGCGTAGGTGAGTGTAGGTGGGTTTGTGTAGGTATAAAATTTTGGTTGGTGTTTTGTTTTAATTGGCAGTGGAAGGTAATATATTAATAAGATATGTGGCTAATGATAAAGCGTAATGCCAAAAAGATGGGGGTAGAGATGCTTGGAGAAGGCTAGTACGAATCATATTGTTAAGCTTTGCCATTTTGTGGTGAAGTATAAGTGGCATGTAAAACGAAATTTAGTACCGGTTTTAAGGAAAAATTGTTGGAGCGAGGAGTTATTAAACTCTCTACCGTTATCACATTGTAAGGTTTTGATGTTCCGATTAAATTGGGTTTGGATTTGTGCATGGAATTGTTGGTAGATGGTAAATACTTGAGATTTAGTTTGTAATGGGAATGTCCTGATGAAGTGTGAAAAATCATCAAGTAAATTTATACAATACAAGAAATCATTTGCCTGCCTTCTCATTAATCACAATGTGTATAAATATACAATACAAGAAATCCCTATAATTGGGGAAAATATAACTACCAAAGATAAATACAATCATATCTACAAATAAAATCAATGGCCATAAAAAAGGAAGAAAGTGGAGAGCGATTGGAAATGATCAGAGGTCAACTACCGGTAGCGTTTGGACAAATCCGACTTCCTTACACTGGTGACGTGCACGAACACCTTTTGTTCTCCTCTATCGTAGTCTACAAAGTCTAGTAGGCTCGTGGTGTTTGTCTCATCAGAGCGTTGCTTCAATCAACCATAAAACACTTCAATCGATCTGAGGATTAAATAAGCAAAAACCCCTTCGTGTATTCCTTTGAACATCGAAGACAGAAAAGGAAGAAAATGAGAAGTAGAGAAAGATGGTTGATTGGAAGAGGGAGGCGGTGAAGATCGCTTCCTGATCAACAGAGACGACACGGGAGGCGGTGAAGATCGCTTCCCGATCAACAGAGACGACACGTATGTGTAAAGCACCGATTGACCTACGCGTATGAGAACAGATGACCGGAAAAGCAGAACTGTTGTATATTAAAAAAAATAGTAACGGTGGGTAATATAATAACCAAGAAGGATACTTGTAACCAACAATTACACTATTGCTAATTAACTAATAGAGTATATAAATACATTCCAAACAAATTTATAAACAAATTTACTTTTATACATTTTAATCGTAAACCTGTAATAAAGTTAAGATATTTTTCACTCTTTCGAACTGCAGCACCAATACATCTGCACACTTCCACATACCTACCCTAGGATTTTGTCTGGTCCGCCGCTACGCATATACTGTATTATACATAGACACGTAGTGAATACTGAATATGCCCAACAACCCAACAATGGCGAAACAAGAAGGAGAAGAAGAAGTGATTCTACTGAATTTATGGGCAAGCATGTATGGGATGAGGGTCAGGATCGCACTTGCTGAGAAGGGTGTTTCATACGAATACAGAGAAGAGGATTTGAGGAATAAGAGTCAGCTTCTCTTGGACATGAACCCGGTTCACAAGAAGGTTCCGGTTCTCATCCACAACGGCAAACCAATATGCGAGTCAAGCATCATTGTTGAATATATCGATGAAGTCTGGAAAGACAAAGCTCCATTGTTTCCTTCTGATACTTACGACAAAGCTCATGCGAGGTTTTGGGCTGACTTCATTGATAAGAAGGTAACTTTTGACCTTTCTTGGTTTTTTATCTACTACTTACCAGGGTTTATAGTTGACGTTTTGATTCCCTCCTTCAAGACTATTGCAAACAATTTAATTCTGGTTCTCCTAAATCTTTTGAACGTGTGTTTTGACTAATTTTCAACCCAGATCTACATATTTCGTTATAAAACAATTTCGGAAACCCGATTTGGTGTAATTTGGGTGTAACTTTGCATCTAGGATTTTCTTTCTTTCTTTCTTGTGACGAATCTTGAATCCATGACTACATATTCAAGAAATTCACTTCGTACCTGTTTTGATGCAACTTCCTATATATGAAACAAGTCAATGTTTGTTCGAATCTTGTATTCAAGGGAAATGGTCTTAGATTATCGAATATTTTCTCTAACATCGTATAAGGAAATGTAGGTATTCCAAATTGGGAGGAAGTTGTACACAACAATAGGGGAAGAACATGAGGCAGCAAGGAAAGAGTTTATCGATTCCCTTAAACTGATTGAAGGAGAACTTGGAGACAAGCCTTACTTTGGAGGTGACAGTTTTGGCTACGTTGATGTGTCTTTGATCCCATTTCATTCATGGTTTCATTCCTATGAAACATATGGGAAATTGAACATACAACAAGACTGCCCAAAATTGATTGCTTGGGGTAAAAGGTGCTTTCAGAACAAGGAGAGTGTGTCCAACACTCTTCCTGATTCGCTAAAGGTCCTTGCTTTTGTTCAATTCTTGAGGAAAAGATTTGGACTCGATGAATAGAACTTTGAGGTATCAAAGCCAATGTGGTTTTGTTCAACACGTGTATCGGATCTGTGTTGCTATTTTCCCTTTCTTGTCATAAAAAAAAACACTTGGATGTGTTCGTCACATATAAATAAATAAATAAATAAAGTTGTGTTTTCAGATGCATTTCTTGATATGCTTACATTTTGCAATAAGTGTATTTTATGTGTGGGATTGGTTACATATTTGTCAGATTTGAATCGATTAAAAAAAAGCGGATGTTGGGGATTGGTTACATATTTCTTAAAAGCGGATGTTGGGGATTGGTTACATATTTCTTCTCATGTTTTTTTTTTCTAAACTTGTAGTTATTGTATGCACAGCTATACCACCAATGGCTGCATCAAGAACGTTGTTCCAGTTTGTTTGAATTGAATTTACATAAAGAAAAATAAGAAAAATGATAGATATGAACACACATATGCACTGTAACTCTTATTTGGATATAAATATGAGACGAAGGGAGTATTGTAACTCTTATTTGGATATAAATATGAGACGAAGGGAGTATCTGATAATCAACCACAAATTCAGCTCTTATAATTAGAGATGACAAAACATGTATAAGAAATTAATAAGTAAAATGAGTAGAAATTGTTAAATTTTAATACATGCATCAATGTGTTTTCTTGTCTCAAGTTAATCCTTGGTGCAAGTTAGTTGAATTAAATTAGACAAAAGTAACAGAATTATGTTATAAGCAGATATGCTATTTGCATACAGAACTTAAAAACCAAGCTCGTACATTTGACCTTTTTTTTAGACTGCATCAGTCCATGAACAAAATCTTTATTTAAATATAAACTAAAACAACTTACAAATATAGCAACATTTCAAACTACTTTTCTTTCTTTTTCTCACAGTAGTTTCAGTTTTGAAGGACGCAAAAGTCCATGCCCTGTGTGTGTGTGTGTGTGATGGAAGAATTACAGCATCTAATGAAGAGTTAGTTGATTTACTGATATTTTTTAACTGCAACAGCCACCAACTTGAGAAGCAGATCCATCTCTTCCTCCTGAAGGCTCCGGATTGCCACCACATCCAACTTTAATTCCAAAAGACTGCCAATATGCAATTAAAAAAAAAAAATACATACCTTAATTTAGCTCACAAATATAATTTGGAAAGGATAACTTTATATAGGATAACAAAATTGGACTTGCCTCATTTGATACATCAAAAATTCCATCTTGTATCTTCTTGTAGATTGTTCCAGCTGTGTTTATGAATGCCTACAACAAAACCCAATATTGATTGATAGCAAGAAAAAGTTTCTAAAAGATGTTAGAATGTTCTAGAATACCCAAAAGGATTTTAGAATGCTGTGGAAGATTCTAGAACATCATGGAAGACTTTGTTTGTATCGTGTTTATGAATTATCACCTCCTCGACATTCTGAGCAGTTTTTGCAGACGCTTCCATGAACACGAGACCATGTTCTTTTGCAAACTGTTCTCCTTCTTCAGTGCTGACAGCTCTTCTGTGTGAAAGATCACACTTATTACCAATAAGCATGACAGTCATGTTCTCATTCGCATGCTGCCTTGCATCCTCCAACCAGCTAGCAAGGTGATTAAATGTTTCCCTCCTGCATGTTTCATACAATTAACATCTCAAAATAAATAAAAAATGGAAATCATTTAAAAAAAAGATATATTATATAACCTGGTGATGTCATAAACCAGAAGTGCACCAGCAGCGCCTCTGTAGTAAGACCTTGTTATAGATCTGAATGATTCTTGGCCAGCCTGATTAAGTAGAAAATAAGAAAATGAGTGAATTCATTATAAAAGGAAAAGAAAAGAACAGAAAAGGAACATTTATTTACAAACCGTGTCCCAGATTTGCAGTTTTACTGGTTTGTTATCGATTGTGATCATTCTGGCTCCAAATTCAACACCAATGGTTAAGTCATGGACTGGTTGAAAACGCTTGTCTGTGAACTGTAGAAGAAGGCATGACTTCCCCACCCCTACAAACATCAGTTGGATTATGTCACTAAACCAGTTACGTTTGACGGACTAGCTGATAGATGAAAAACTAGCTGATAAAAAATGACTTTGGTAAAACCAGCTGAAATATGTAAAATGACATAAAAAAGCATATAGAAGATTGTGTTTACTTATAATTAATAAAAATGTATAATTGAAACGTTAGTCTGAATAGCTTTTTAAAATCCTAGCTTATAAGCTACTTTTTAATTTGCCAAACATAACAACCTAAAAAAAACACTAGGTGTGTGACTTGACAAACATAACACAACTTACATTAATCGGACACATAAAGATGCAAAAAACTATTGTGGGAGCTTAAAGTTACAAGCTCAATAGTCAATAGATAGAGGTTTTTCATATTTTTGATATTATTTTATTCATTTTACTCTAAAGATCGATACTATAAATAATCGTTGTGAAAAAGTTTTACTACAGTGGATGAGGTTTGTTAAGCTTTTCCGTTTGTTAATGTGGGTAGGACGTGGCACTGTAGATGCTCCGATGGAGGCAACCTTGTCTATATCTAAACAAAAATCTAGTTTCCTTGAAGATGATAAAATTTCAGATACATATCTATGGGATTAAGATTCCTGATGATAAAATTCCTTTTGAAAGAACTTGATCCTCGGCAAAAGTGGGTAACAGATTAAGAAAATTTGGATCTGAAAGAGATCGATGATTCAAGTTACAGTCTCTAAAATATTCTGTTACCTAAAATTCTATTGAAATACGCCAACTACTCTGACGTTGTTTCAATTGATCCAATGGCAAATATTGATAACTAACAGTTTGAGGACATAATTTGAAAATTAAAAAAGCCTGAATAATCTCATAAACAACCGGCATTCACATTGTTTCCAAATGCGATCGACACAGATTTGATAAAAAGTGGAAACAATAATAAATAATCAGAAAACAAAAGACGATTCAGAATTGAAGCAAATTACCTGTATCTCCAATGATGATGTACTTGAAGAGATAAGCGTAGGACATGATTATTCAGATCGCTCGGATTTTAAAAACTTATCAAATCAAAAGCGCCAAATAAATCGTGGAAACTTGGAGATTAATTATTTCGAGAGAATCAACAATCAATCTAATTGAAGAAGACAACTTTTATTAGATTGCGTAATCCTGCATTACGAATTTACGATATTGAATTTCCGATTTGTGCTTCGCTGTCGCGGATGCAGAGACCACCGCCTTAAAATTTTGATAAATATCACCATATGCCAAAAAAAAAAGGAAAAAGAAAAAAAAAAGATTTTGGAAATTTATTAGTACATCTTAATTTTACGTGAGAGCTTTTTGGTATCGGTTTTGTTCTAAACCAAAATTGCATAAATAATTAAAAAAATCTTTTTCTAGTAAAAAAAATCAAAAAATTCGATGCTGGTAAAGAAATGACACAATAGCTTATTAATTTTCAATTTGGGGGAGGTTTGTCGGGTGATATTGAGGCCGTTCTTCATGGTGTCAAGAGGGTGTTGAGTGAACGTCATGATGATGAGTCTTTTGCAATGTTTGTGGTGGATTTCTTGAATGTCTTTAATCTGGTGGATAGATCTCCTTACTTCATGAGGTCAGGATGAGGTGTCATTCCATTTCTTTGTTGTATTTGGGAGATAAACATATTTGGTCAACTATTGGAGTTCAACAAGGCAACCCTTTGGGACCACTTCTTTTTGCTCTTGTATTGCACCAACTTGTACATTAGATTAGAGACAACTGCAAGCTTCTTCTTCATGCTTGCTATCTTGATGATAGGACCATCATTGGAGATTCGGAGGATGTGGCTAGAGTATTGGACATAATTAAGGTGACAAGTCCAAGATTATGTCTTGATTTGAGTATCAAGAAAACTGAACTATTTTGGCCTTCATATGATGGTAGGAAACTTCGTGCGTGTTTATTCCTTGTTGACATTGGGCAGCTGTTATGTGTGTGTGTGTGTGGGGGGGGGACCTTCTTGGGGGAGTTGTTAGTAGACACGCGAGTTTTATTAGCGGGTTAGCCATGAAGAGAGCTGCCAATGTTGTAGATTTGGTGCACCTTCTTTCACAGTTATGTGACCCCCATAGTGAGCTCCTTTTGCTTCGATCTTGCATGGGCCTTGCCAAACTTTTCTTTGGCTTGAGGACGTGCCAACTTGTTTACATGGAGGAGGCGGCTATGTTGTTTGATAAAGGGGGGTTATGTGGGTCGATTGAGGACATTGTGGTTTGTGGGGAGGGGGGGGGGTCCTTTTTTTGGGGACATTCAATGACGACTTGTTTCATTACGAGTTAGGTTTGGTGGTTTGGGGTTGTACTCAACGGTAAAGGCTTCATCTTATTCATTTGTGCCCTCACGAGCTCAATTGTGGGTTTTACAAGACCACATCTTACGAGATAGCGACATATGTGGTATGGATTATAACTATGTTTGTGCTTTGGCTTGTCTTCGTGATACGATTCCGGGCTTTGACTTCTAACGGTTTCACTAATAAGGACAACACCCCTCTAAAAGCCCAACATTCATTGACGAGTTCACTTTTTAGTAAAATTATCCAAGACATGGAAGGTCACTTCGAAATGACTATTAGGCAGAAAATAGTTTTTTGAGTGTCTAAGGGCACCACATGCTCAGGATTTTCTTATGACTTATTCATACTGAAGGTCTTGGCCAGAATATGTCGCTAGTGGAGTATTGTGCTATCCTCAAGTATCGCCTTATGATCCATTTATTTCCGGTTGATGAGACATGCCCTATTTGTCGCAAGGTATGCTTCGACTCCCTTGCAGAGCATGCAGTTCATTGTAGAGAGCTCCCGAGTTTCAAGTATTGACACAAACTAGTTATGGATGTTCTTTTCGACATATTTAGGGCACCGAGGTTTCTGTCAAGAAAGAAGCACTTGTGACTTTCTGACTGACCCAAACTTTCTACATCTAATTAACTATGGATGTTCAAAGTTTTCGAATAAATGCGGATTTCTATAAAAAATAAACACTTTACATACCAGGTTATATTCAGGTTTACAATAAAATCGTAACATAATTTAAAGTAACAAGGAATATACAAAGAAATAAAACTACTCCTAATCTAGGTCTTTGTGATCCTATCTTCTCACGTACCACGACTGCTAGCTGAACTTGCAAAACATGAAAAACATCTACTACATCAGAGCACATGACTGGTAAGTTATATTCTAATCTGTTTCATGTTATCATACTCTTCTTCTAATATTTCTTTCTTTACATACTCTAACATTGTACTCTTTTCTTTCTCACACTCTGTAATCTATTCTCTTTTTCTCATATCATACTCTATTATTCTTTCTCATCCCTCTATCTCTTCTACTCTTTTCTTGTGTCTTCTCATATCATCTATCTCATACTCTACCTTCTACTATTCTTTTCTAATCTTTTCTCCTCATCTCATACTCTCCCTTAGTGTAACATACACGTTCACTTATCGTGTTATGTAATTTTAAAAGTGAATAATATTATGAAATATTATATAATTATGAGTATTGAGTTCTAACAGATAGTTTTTACTAGAAATGAAGTAAAACTATGTTTAGAATCATCCAGAATGTTTTGGAAGTCTTATGAGATTCTGAACATTAGGCAAATATTGAAATTTAACGAAAATATAAAATTTGAAATAAGTAAAATTTTATTATTGAAAGTTGAAAAGAATCTCGTTAGAAACATTTTGGGCGAAAACTGATGGGTTTTGAGCATTCTAACACTTCCTAAGTGTACATGCAACCCTAATAACCTTGG